CAACTTAGATAGAATTAGTTTTTAATTTAATTTGTCGTTCCCTGTGTTCGATACCCTGCTTATTTAGCTATACCACAATTGATAGGTTCACTGCCTTTTGTGTGTTATTTGATAATTAAAGTACGTTTAAAACTAAGTGAGTTTTACACACATCACATACCTCGGAGGCATGCACCAGATCTTGATGGAGGAGGCGCACAAATCCCGATTCTCCATTCATATCGGGATGATGAAGATGTATAGGGATCTTCGTCTGGATTGTTGGTGGCCCTGCATGAAGCGGGATGTGGCTTGGTACGTTGAGCGGTGTTTGACCTTCAGGAAGGTCAAGGCCGAGCATCAGAGACCGCACGGCAAGATGCAGCCGTTGGATATCACGTTGTGGAAATGGGAAGATATTACGATGGATTTTATCACGAAGCTTCCCAGGACCACGCGAGGAGTGGATTCTATATGGGTCATCGTAGATCGATTGACCAAGAACGCCCATTTTATTCCGATTCAGGAGAGCATCTCGGCCGAGAAGTTGGTCGATATCTATATCAGGGAGATAGTGGCGCAGCACAGGGTGCCAGTATCAGTGATTTCATACAGAGATGTGCGTTTTACTTCCAGGTTTTGGAAGAAGTTTCATGATAAGTTGGGCACTCGTCTACATTTTAGCACTGCCTTCCACCCGCAGACGGATGGTAAGAGTGAGCGGACTATCCTGACTCTTGAGGATATGTTGCGGGCATGCGTGCTAGATTTCGGTGGTAGTTGGGATACCTATCTTCCTTTAGCTGAGTTCTCATACAACAACAACTACCACGCGAGTATTGACCGTCCTCCCTTTGAGATGTTGTACTGACGGAGATGCAGGACCCTGATATGTTGGGGGGAGGTTGGCCAGAGGGTCATGGGAAGCACCGAAGTGGTGCTCCAGATGACAGAGAAGATTCAGCAGGTCCAGAGCAGGCTTCAAACTGCTCAGAGTCGGCAGAAAAGTTACGCCAACAAGCGCCGTTCAGACTTGGAATTCCAAGTCGGGGATATGGTTCTTCTGAAAGTGTCACCATGGAAAGGCGTCATCCGATTCTGAAAACGGGGAAAGCTAGGCCCAAGGTGCATCGGGCCATTCAGGGTTGTAGCCCGGGTGGGCAAGGTGGCGTATACGTTGGATCTGCCAACCGAACTCAGCCAGATCCACAACACTTTCCACGTCTCCCAGATGCGGAAGTGTTTGGTGGACAACTCGGCAGTGGTGCCTTTGGAGGATATTCAGGTCGACGACAGTCTAAATTACATTGAGCGGTCTGTGGCAATCCTCGACAGGAAGTCGAAGGATCTGAGGAACAAAAGGGTGGAACTCGTGAAGGTGCAATGGCAGCACTGGAAGGGATTAGAGTGGACTTGGGAGCCGTTAGAAGAGATGATGGAGCACTACCCCGACCTATTTCAGGATCGAGCATCAGACTTCGAGGATGAAGTCTAAAGATAAGTGGGGGAGATTTGTAGCACCTGGTTCCCGGTACGTACTCCTTGTTATTTACATTCCGGTACGTACTCCTTGTTATTTACATTTTAAAATAATGCATTTTTTTGCCTTGGACTCGGCGAGTTGATGGGCCAACTCACTGAGTAGAAGTGGGATAATGCGCGGGAATTGGACTTTGGACTCAGCGAGTCGGTCCCCGGACTCGGTAAGTAGACCCTGTCTGGGCAAAAACCCTAATCCGAGTGTTTGCAGCCTATTTAAATGCTCTAACTTGGCCTCCTTTGTCCCTAACACTTCTAGAGAGCTGTAGAGCGAGACCAAAGGGTAGTTAGACACCCCAAGTACGTCTAACAGTATGTGATGGTATGTTTGCATGCTGACTTGTTATGTTATATGCGATAGAGGTAGTAGGAGGGGACCAGTCCCCGAGTTCGGTTGTTAGGACCGAAGGGAAGCTCAGGCACCCCAGATATGTCTGGTAATATGTTATGTTTATGTTATATGTGATAGCAGTAGTAGGGGGTGAAATAGTCCCCGGGGTTCGGTTGTTAGGACCGAAGGGTAGTCAGCACCCCAGAATGGCTTGACATGTGTAGGTCGGCACCCTAGAATGGTCGTACCGGGTAGGTCGGGCACCCTAGAATTGTCTGGCAGTATGTATGCTATGTGATTATATGGTATGTGGTATAGTGGGGGAACTCACTAAGCTTTGTGCTTACGGTTTTCAGTTGTTGTTTCAGGTATCTCTTCGGTCAAGGGGAAGGAGCTGGCGCGGTAGCGGCGCAACACACATGCTCTTTTGATTTCCGCACCAAGAGTCATTCTGGGATTTTGTATTCTGACATTTTCATGTTTTATGTTTTGGTTTACGATCACGAGACATGTTTTATCAAATATTATGATTGTGTGATATTTTGTTGCAAACGCTTTTCAAATCGCTTAATTAAAAAAATAAATAAATAAATAACCGAAAATTTTGGCCCGCATTTTTGGGATATTACAACATAAGTTTATGAAAGAATTCAATGTCGTTTGTTTCGGGATGAAATGGCATACTTTCATAAAAGATCATATCAAGTTAAGGGCATTTTTCATTCTTACTACAAGATTTAACTGAAAAGTGGCTATATGACCTTCCTTCCGGCTCTATTACCACATATGAGCTTGCTAAACTTTTTCTCAAAATTTATTTCCTGAAACTGAGGGTTTATAGTGTATGCTGATAGATCTATGTTGAGAGATCTATGGTATCAAACAAGGGGAAAAAAGTTTTATAAACTTACTAGGAGCATTACAAAAGTTGTGTGTATGGTGCTTACAACATGGAAGCAAACCCAAAACATGTCTACCTATGTGTGTGCGCCATAAAATGTGGGTTTTTTTTCTTTTTTTTGTTGTGAAATTACCGACCTAAGGCTTGTGGTTGTCTTCTCATGTTTGTTGTAAACAATGGTTTTGAAAAGTATTCAACTAACAACAAGAAGAAGAAGATAACCGTCACTAATATTATGTCATCTTCTATGAGGAAAATAGTGATGAAAATATTTTGCCGCCTATCCTAAAGTTGGCCCAAGGGGTTTTTAAACTCTGGCCATGAACCCGGCCTACTGAAATCTAAGGGCCCAAATTTTTCTTAACATTTATATTAGGCTAGGTTTATTTTTTACCCTGAATAGTATTAGGTTATGTATCAGCGAAGGAAAGAAATGACACAAGCAAGAATCATGAGCATGAATTTGAACGTTTTGGGGGGGAAATGTTGCTTAGGTTCCTTCAATATCGACATATCACATACAGTGATTACAATGTAGGCATGGGAACAAATTAATTATGCCAGCGAAATAGCAAATCATCATCAATCTCCTTGGTAACGGTCTTATTCTTTCATTATTTTCTTAAAAGTAGTAAAATTATTCATATGAAACCCTTCGAACTTCGAAAAACATTACAAAGATTTCAAATGCATCGAGTTCTTATTTATTTCTTCTTACTTGTTTCTTCATAAATCTTCAATAATTTTCATAAATCTTCGAAATTAGATTGAAATCAAAAGCCTTCAATCGTCGATAAAAGGTGTTGAAAATCAGAATTTGTGTATTAAGGAGTATCGACGAAAATCTAAAGGTGTTATACACTTTTTTAATCTATATTAGACATATATTTTATTGTTTAGATGTTGTATGGTAATAATTTATGTGTCTTTTTTCTTGAATTTAAATTTTTTGTAAAAAGAAATCATGATTTGAAAACCTAAAGGTATTACCGTAAGTCTCACCTCAAAATTTGTAGTAAATTTTGTTTTTCACTTTCATTAATTCATTATGATTCCTATTTTTCTTGATACTAAAAGAAAAATCTATCAATCCAGCTTCTAGGTTTCGAAGTTTCTTATTCTTGAATTGTTTGGAGTTTCAAAAGTTAGGAGCAAATGAGACGTTCTCCTAGTGATAATGTAATATAAGATTCTGGTTTCTAATTTTTTTTCTCTTTATGATTTGCATCTGATTTTTTATTGGGTTTAGAGGACACATGTATTATAACTTTACTATTTGAGTTTCAGAATCGAAGAATCTTTTGGATAAAGATATTTATAAAGATGAAATTGAAAAGATTATTTCAACAAATATTATAAAGATGACTATTTTAGTACCTATATCTTTGTTAAATTGGACGAGCCTCCGAAATCTCTCAGTCGGTCGTGGCTAACGCATTATATGATCATCATTGATACTCAACTTATTGTATTGTAGGATCAACAAAATAATCAGTTTTAACCGAGTTTGGTTGTTTTCCATTGTGATAACATATAAATTGTTAAGAATTTGTTTTATAGATGTTATTCCTGCAATGTATTAATGGTTTTATTTGCTCAATAATTAATTCTAATACGTATTATTTTTCAAAAAAGTAAAAAAATAGATAAGAAAAATACATGAGTTGTTTTTTCTTTAAAAAAAATTAATAATTAAAATTAAAATAAAGGAAGCTGATTTGTACGCAACAATTTTTTCCATACATAATAATTGGTGCTTTAAAATGTTGTATTGTACAACTCAATAATACATAAATTTTTATGTATGGCAAAAAACTATTGTTTACGGATCACTTTCCTTAAAATAAAAAAGTTGAGTTAGAGGTGAGTTGTGGTTCTTATAAAAAGTTAAATCAATTAAAATATCTAAAACCTATTAAAAAAAAGTTAGGAAATATTGTTTTATAATACAGGTCTCCGTTTATCAGATAAAAAAATAAAATAAATAAATAAAGTTAAGAAAAAATAATTATCTTAAACCAAACAAATAAATCTTTAAATTTCTATCGATCATATATTGCTGTGACAAAAAAAATAAAAAAAATAAAATTTGAAGGAAGAAATACTAATCATTTTCTTTCAATTAAATTTTTTTTTCAAAAAAAAAAAAAAAAAAAAATAATAATAATAATAATAATAATAATAATAATAATAATAATAATAATAATAATAAAATGTCAAACTGCTCCGACGATGGAATTTTTGCGATCAATACAATGGTTGGAAATGAGGACATAACAATGGCGGATTCCACTATGAAGAAGAAGAAGAAGAAGAATTCAATAATTTCTAATCTTGTCATCTTACTCTTACTTTATCTTCCTCTACGCCGTTTAACTTCCTCCAGAAACCACCACCTCTCTAATTATCCGACTGTTTATCTATTTCTCCGACTTCAATTCCATCTCCACCATGGCTTCACAATCTGATTCAATGCTACAAAACCACCAGGTAACCATTGTTATTCCTTCAAGCTTACTCTTCCAACTTATTATTGTTATCGATAATCTATCCATTTAGTGCATATATTAGTTAATCAAGTCGTTTATGAACAGGAAAAATACATTCGGGGACGTGAGAACCCAGTTTTTGATGGATTAAGAGGGAATACATCTATGAATCACAGGACATCCATATTCGACTTTTTAGGAAGCAATGGTAAGCAGAAAATGTCACGTTCCAACTCTGTTATCGGACATGCGGGGTGTAAAGGTGGAATTCAAGAACATGCATCATCATACAACTCATCAAAAGGTTCACAATTCGACATTAGAGAAGAGCCTTTTGGGTTGTCTTTTTCTCGAAGTCTTGATTTAGGTTCATCTCAGATATCAGGTTTTGAGTCAAAATCTAGTGTTGACATGAGTGTTGCAAAAGATTTTGAAGCAAATGGTGTTCATGGTGATCGAGAAGAGGCCTTGATTGAAAAATCATTTAGTGTTAGTAAGATGAAACAAGTTGTCCATGGAGTTTCACTTCCTCCATCTGCAGCATCATTCTATTATCGTGGTTTACCAAGTATGGATGTTGTGGAGTCTTGTGAAGGTATTCAAAGGCTTAATTTGTATCTGAAAGCATGCAAAGATGCTGTAAATGCTGGTGTTCCAGGACAGTTTTTGCGTGCTGTACTTGGACACGTCTCAGGTACGCATTGACAGAACATGTTACTGATTTTGATATTTATTGGACTGAGACTGAGACTAAGATTGATAACAATACGACAAAAACTGCAATTTTTTATCTACAATGTGGGACAAGGTCACGCTTTTGATATTTTATGTGTACAAAAGACATGAAAAATTTTTAATCATGAAAAATAACCTTAAAAAGCTTGTCGAGCATTATACATAAGGAAGTGATTTGTACACAATAATTTTTCTCCATACACAATAATTTATGCTTTATGGAGTGGTACAATACAACACTTTAATGCACAAATTGTTGTGTATGGAAAAAATTTGTTGTGTATGAATTAGTTCCCTTATGCATAAAATGTTGTTTTACTTTTCTAATTTGTTTTGCGTTTTAAACATCTTTGTTCTTAAATGAATAGTAAAAATGGCAATTTTAACTTAATTTGTGAAAATGGATCTATTTTGGGGCATATTTTTGTTGTTAACCGTTGAAACAAATAAAAATAATTTTAAAAAATGGGTTGCTTTATTTAGATGTCCTCTTGAAGAATCTGGTGATAGAAATGTTAGAATGTCAATAATGCATAATTATTGGCTGACAAAAAGAAAAAGAGAATTTTTTTGGAGCACCCAATACTGTTTTTAAATGATTAAATTGTTGCTCAAACTATAGGCTAGATTGAAGTAATTCCTTCAACTTTTAGTTAGTACTAAACAAACCCTAATGTGTTAAGTAAATAACAAATTGGTCCCTTAGATGTTCAAAAAAATGAAAACTCAATCTCTCAACATTTAGAGGGTTACACTCAACCCTATGCTTTTTAAAATTACTAATATTCCCCTGAGCTTACAAGAAATGACAAGTTGGTCCCTTTGTTTTCCAAACAAAAATTAAGAAAAGATGGTAGTAGATAAGAAGGGAAGATAAACGAGACATGTTTCATAGTACTTCTTTCTCTTTCTTTTTATAGATTCTCATTTAAACAATCACACAAATCATGTAAAAAAAATTGTTGCCATAATATGCAGATGTTGGATCTTTTATTTCAACAATCATGTATTCATTCTACTTGAATGAAACAGACAAGAACTCTCAGTTTTGCACTGTGCCTATTATTAACATTAAAAGGGCAGACCTTAAAGCTCATGCTGAGCTGGAATGGTTACTTACTTCATGCAATATTGATCAACCATCAATTATATTCATTAATGAGGTAAGTTCATAACCTTTATATATTTATAAAGGGCAAATCTCTAATATGACTAAAAATGGTAAAGTCCATTTAACAAATCGATCACCTCTGACCCATTTAAGAAAGGGCTGTTGACATAAAAATCCTTAAGTTTGTTAGGTTTTATTGGTTTTGTCCCTGTGATGATTTTTTGTTTGTTAATGTCCAAAATTTGCCAAGTTTTTTCATTTTTGCCCTTGTTACCTATAATAGTAGGTGTTCAAGGACACAACCGACAAAATTTAACAAACTTAAAGACTTTAAAGTCAAATTTTGAAAAACATACTTAGGATAAAAACATATAAAATTTGTAAACATAAGGCTTTTTTTGCAAATTTGAAAAGCATACTTGGGGTAAAAACATAAAAAAAAAAATTGTAAAAAGGACAAAATTGGAAAAAAAAATGGCAAATTTTAGACATTAACGAACAAAAAATCATCACAAGGACAAAACCAATAAAATCTAACAAAATTAAGGACTTTTATGTAAAAATCCCTATAAGAAACAACCACCTATTTTGCCATATGGATTTTGTGACAAGGACAAAACCAATAAAATCTTGACAAATTTAAGGACTTTTATGTGAAAATTCCTATAAGAAACAACCACCTATTTTGCAATATGGATTTTGTGAACAGTGAAATTGCTTTAGAAATGATCCCCCACAAGAAATGAAGAAACCTTAAAAGAATTGCAAAATTGCATCGCAAAATATGATGTCTTTTCCAAAAGAAAAATATATCTAAAATCTTTTAAGATTTTATGAGATGGGACCATTCTTAAAGTGATTTTGCATTTCATAAAATTCATATTATGAAATGGGTGGTCATTGTTGGTATAATGGTGAATAGGTGGTACATTTGTTAATTGGAGCCTACCATTTAGGTCACTTTTGTGATTAGCCCATTTTTAGTATCTTTAGGGTTCACACTTTCACAATATCTTATTTTATAATAAATTAATAATATATTTTATTTTACATTTTGCTTTCTAAACGAAGGTTTATCTTCCCTTCAGTTCTTGATTATCAAGTTTTGTGTTTATTATTTGTGCAGATTGACCTTTCATATTATAACTTATTTGGAAGTCTTAAAGTTGTTTTACTGAATGCTGATAAGCTCCCAGAGAAACAAGAGGTAAAATATATTTCAATCTCTATTATTAGTTATGAAACAGTAAAATTTTAGGAATACCTACTTTGGCCTTCTTTGAACAGGCATTAAAGGAATCTTTAGTTGAAATATTCAAGGGTAGAAAGGTCAGACTCTTTTTTATTACATTGTCTTTTATGCTTTTTAAACATCTTTCATGAATTTTGATTTCTTTTATAGGGTGGTTTTGCTGATCTTTCAGATGACACTATTGAAGAACAGGTTACCATAATTTTGGAACTACATAAATTTTTAAGATTTTTTTACATGTACTATTATAATGTAAAGTGTAGCATGCACATATGTTTTGAAGGGATTGAAAGATCCATTTTTATTGCTTATTTGGCATGCAATCAGTGTTGATTTGGAAATATAAATGTGAAATTTCATTTTTTTTATGCAATTATGTTCATCTTCATAGGTACAAATTAAAAAGGAATTGAAATGTATGAAAAAGCAAATATGTTTCTACTATTTTTACAAATTTTCCTTTCTAAGCTAGAAAATTGTAAATATGTTGCTATTATGGGTAATATTAAAGGTACATTGCCCTTATTGGTTAAAAAAAAGTACATTACTATTTCTTATTATTTTCACTTTCTAAAAGTATGGGATATATAAAATGATATTTTTTTGCACCACAGGAATGTTCATGTTGTGCCCTAATTGCTGAAAAGTTTGCATCAAAATCACCTGAGATATTGGTAGGGAAAGGTTTTGCTCGCCTTCTGGTACGCATTTTTTCTACAATCTATAAATTCTAGAGTAAATTACACGAATGGACGAATGGTCCCTATGGTTTGGAGTAATTTTAATATTTGGTTCCTAACTTATTTTTTTAACTCGGAAGATCCCTACAGTTTGTTTTTATTGCACGTTGGGTCCCTGTCTTACCGAAAAAGACTATTTTTTCATTGATTTTTTAATTTATTTAAATAAAATAGGGTAGGTAAGGTGAGACGGAAGTGGGGTTAAGGTGTTTTTATTTAAATAAATTAAAAAATCAATGGCAAAATAGTCTTTTCGGTAAGATAGAGACCAAGCGCCCAACAAAAACAAACCGGAGGGATCTTCCGAGTTAAAAAAAATAAGCTAAAAGCCAAATGTGCAAATTACCCCGAACTATAGAGACCATTCGTGTAATTTACTCTAAATTCTATGTATTTTTATCTGTTCTTTTTCCTCTTTTTTTTGAGATATTATCTGTAAATATATACAATTTGGTAAATAGAACTCGAAGAATTGTTTTTGTTGGAAGTTGTATATCTGTTTCTTGAAATATAAAAAAATGTACCTTTCTACTTGTTGCAGCTTTCAGGTATCCTTTTGGATACTGAAAATTTGACAAGTCCCAAGTGTACTTCAGTCGATAAGTACATGTCAACATTATTACTTAATGGAGCTGGTCGATTTGGATGCAATGGTCTTTACAAAATATGTAAGCTTAAAATATTCATATATTTATAAGGGGGTGTTTGGGATTGCGTTTGAAAAGTGTTTATTTGCTTATTGACTTTTTGAAAAGCTAATAAGCCAAAAAAAAGTGTTTGGCAAACTCAAAAGCACTTTTCAAAATAGCTTTTTCATAAGGATTGTGATTAGTGAAAGTCAAGTTTTCTGATGTTATTGCTTATTGTTGTTAGTGAGTGACAAAATGCACAATGTATCATACCTTAGTGTTGGACAAATCTTGCACAAAGACTTCAGAAAGTGGACAAAACCAGGTTTGGAATATATTCTTATCTTTTTAGTAAATAATATTTATTTTTTTCATTGGTTAAATGCAAGAATCAACTATTTAATTTCATTTATTTGTGTAGCATCTTATTTTTGTTTTAGTCTACTACAAGTCTACAACATTATACTTGCAAATATTTTTTCTTGTTAAAGCATTTACTTTGGAAAATCAACCTAATTGTAGTAGTGAAAATTGTTATGTATTTGGATAAATTGCTATAATTGGGAAGATTTTTTCAAAGTACAATTCTACTTAAGGTATTTCTTTCTCATCATGTGGTTTTTGGTGATGTCAACTTATTAAAGTAGGTAAAGCTGAGAGTGTAGGGATGAGTGCAGTTGGGATGTCTATTTCTCAGCTTCTTTCACATGATGAGACTTCAATTCAAGAAATTATCCTCTTTCAGCGTGAGTATTATTTCATAATGTGTTATTAGCACTAACTTCTGTAACTTTTTATTTAGTTTTTGATATTCCGCATGAAAACTTAAAAATTGCTTTATTTGTTTCTTGCATTCTTGTCTATACTTCATGATATCTCTTGTTTGTGCTTTACCACTTTACCTCCATTAAATATAGCAAATTGGAGCAAATCCATATTGTAATTTGCTTTGTTTGTAACGAAATATTTTTGTTTCTTTTTTTTTGTGCAGAAATGAATAAACTAAGCTTGCTCATAATTGTCTCGGGTTATCACAATCTTCATAAGAGCTTCAAGGTTAGGGGAGAAATCCTTCTTTCTCTAATTTTGTCTATTAAGTTGTTCTTTATGCATTGAGTCAAAAAGAAACAATCATATATGGTGTTGTTCTTTTAGCTTTTAAAAAAGAATTGAATTAAAGAAAAAAGTTTCTTGAGCAGTATGGGCTTAAAGCTTTTAATTTAAACAAAAAAATCTTAATATGAAAGTTAAGCTACCTTAAGTAGCTTCTGAAAGATTTTAAGAGCTTTTAGCTAGTTTTTATGCTTTATATCATTTTGACACCTTTCAAAAAAGCTTACAACTATTTTTTAGGAGCTTTTAGCTAGTTTTTATGTTTTATATCATTTTGACACCTTTCAAAAAAGCTTACAACTACTTTTTAGGAGCTTTTAGTTGGTTTTTATGTTTTATATCATTTTGACACCTTTCAAAAAAGCTTACAACTACTTTTTAGGAGCTTTTAGCTAGTTTTTATGTTTTATCATTTTGACACCTTTCAAAAAAGCTTACAACTACACAAATAAAATCTATTGTTTCAATATCCAGCTAACAACTAGTTTTGCCAAATATACTCATATAGCCTAAGGATTAAATATTTCCCCTATCAAATGGGACTGAACTATATGAGCTATATTTTATGAGTATAATAATATTTGTTTTCCACTTTTATAATAAATGTAAGGAAATGTTTATATCTGCGGAATCCAAGGAACTCATGGAAGACCTGCTTCATTTCCTTAACAATCATCCTTCACGTCTATTGCTTCATGTATTGTATCAATCAGGTCCGATTACTTCTTATTTTTATTTAATTGTCATGTTATGTTTTCTGCTTTAAAAATGGAGCAATGAGCAAAAAAAAAGAGAATAAAATCATATCCAGATGAATGAAATTGACCATTCTTGAAGACATTTCATTCCTTTTAGCTAGGGATGTTTTTCAATTAATGATGGAATAGAATGGAGAACTTCAATAAATCCATTTGTATTTATGTAATATCTCATGAGTCATGACATATCTTTTTCTTTTTTTTTATAATTTCATAGTAGTTTGAAATACTTTTAATTAAAATTTTAAAAAAATCTATAAATAACTAGAAATATTTTTTCATTAAGTTAGTTGTGGGTATGATTGAATCAGGACATGAATGGAATCGATCATTCAATCAGAATGAATAAAATTCTGATTGTTTTGTTCGATGAATAAAATGGATCATTCTTAAGAAATGTAATTTCTTCAGTTTTGTTACTTTTCATACCTAAGTTGAATGTGTTTTCTTCTTCCATCATGAAAATTATCAATATAACCCAATTTTAAGCATGTGACTTTTAATAACATGTCATTTTTTTTAATGTCGTAGTTCAAACAAAATTGAAATTTTGTTTCATATAAATAACTAGAATTAATTTGTGATGCAGGTCTATGTGATGAGATGAGAGCATTTTCGATGGATAGTATAACATCATTGACAATCATGGAGCAGTTGCTAGAAGATTTTTGTAGAGAAGGGAAGTTTTTTAATTATCAACCTATTAAAAGTTTTGCTGTTACAAGATAAACAAAATTCTAAAATTATGGTATTGGCTAAGATTGTATGTATATTTTGTGACATGGGCGGGCATGATTGAAAAGTGTTGCCTTTTTTTTCTTCATTTTTCATAGTTGGAATATATAAAAATTGTGAGAATTCTTTATAAATGTAAAAAGAAGATTGTGATTGTTCACCATATTATTGATGTTTAATTGATTTAATTTAGAAATGACCAGGTTTGGAAAGCAGTCTTCTTGCATGCTAGCTGATTCAATATATCAAGAGAACGGTATAAAAACTAAGGTTGAGTTGATTTGCAGAATGTTTTTGGCAAGAACGGTATTTAAAAGAAATGGAATTTGGAATAATTGCAACTACGTTGTTTTTGGTCTGCATTTGAGGGAATTGGAATGGAATATAATGATAAACTAGTATTTAAGTTATTTTGTGTGTTGCGGCAGAGAACTTATTTGAAATGAATAAAAACAAAAACTATAATTGAGAAATTAAATAAGAGATCACCAAAAAACTTTAATGTGCAGATAACTCATTTGCAATTCGTATATAGAATGTGATTTACATCTATATATAGTATGGTGATGATTATATCATGTCACGGGGACTATAAATGTAACAAAATAAAGTTTCGATCCAAACAACATAAAAGTTTAGAACGTTTTAATAAAAAGTAATATTAATAAAAACGAAAATTATAAAAAATTATATTAAATAGAGAGAATTTCATATATGCTCTTCTTAAACATCAACATATCATATTTACCCAATTTAATTTCTAAATATTATATTTACCCTTCATAAAATTTCTAATATGATACTTACCCTTCATAAATTTTCAAAATATCATATATATCCTTTTTAAACATCAAAATATCATATATGGCCTTCTTAATTATCAAAATATCGTATATGCACTTTTTAAACATCAAAATATCAATGGTAATATCTAAAATATCATCAATCTACAACATGATAACAATCAACAACAACAAAAACTAAACAATCAAAATGTACATTCCATAGAAAGGGTTGAAGATGAATCTTTTTGTCTGTCAAGAGGCCGATATTCCAACAATTTCAAAGTTCATATTTCATTATTATAGATGTAAGGATAATATGGTTAAATTTCTTAATTATTATAATAATTCTAAGGTATAAAAATGATTATAAAATATTAAAAACATTATAAAAAAAGATTTAGGCAAATAAGATATTTTGAAGGTTTATAAAGGGTAAAATATGATATTGATAAATTAAACTAGGAAAATATGATATTTTGAAGTTTAAGAGGTGCATATATGAAATTCTCCCTATTAAAAATATAACTTAAAAATACATTAAGAGAAAAAAAAAATCATAACTTGTAAAATAAAGATAATTTAACATTAACATTATAAAAAGAAAATTGTTAGATAAAAAATTTTGAAGGAAGAAAATATAAATATGAGAATTTGCTATAATCAGAACCTAAATTTATATTTTTGGAGAGACTTTTCTTTTTATATTTTGTATTATACGTTTGAAAACCAGACTAAAACTCGTGGAGCCTATGGATGTTAATTTTAAGTAGAATTAAAAAATTGATTATGTAATAAAATAATATATCATTAATTTAAAGAAAAAAAAAAAACTTATGAATTGTAATAGTGTATTTTTTTAATAACTTTGTAATTTGGAAGTATTTAATTATATATATAAATCCACCTATCTTATAAAAGTCAAGAGTTTGTATAATGCAACATAATAACACTTTTGGAGCATTATTTATATTAATTTATTAAATACATGGAAGTTGTGATGCACTCATAAGGCAAGCTGTAAAGATTTAATTTGAAAAACAATACGAATAAGTATTTTCTTTATTTTAACTTTTTTTTTATAATGAAGAGAAGTTGAAATCTTAATCAACAACTTAAAAAAAATCAAGATTTAAGCGACATACGCCTCCATGATGTCTGGTTGCTATCAATTCACCACTGATAATCAGTCTCATTTTTTGTTTTTTGTGCTCATTGTTTTGAATCTGTGTTTCTCAATTATGATTCTCATTTTTTCCATTCGACTCTTTTCTCTTTATGTTTCTTCTTGTCTTTTTTTTTTTAATATTTCTTTATCTTTCTTCTTGTCCCTATTATAACTAAAAAACCTAATGTACATTCTATCTTGGATGTCACTAACCATTAGCAACTAAGCATCAATCTGTTAATGAAAACATAATTTAAAAAAAAAAAAAAAAATCAAAAGTAAGCTTTCTTGAGAATCAAAATCTGATTAGTTTCATTCAGACATTTTGTAAAACATCCAACCTGCAAGGCAAATCATCATATTGTGATACTTCAATTAATACATAATCTCCATTCTAATATGCATCTCCAAATTAGCAGATGAAACAAAATGATAACAAGCAAAAGGCTGAAAAAATTAGAAAATATATTAATAACAATCTAGATAATCGTTTTCGAAAATCAAAGCAAACATGATGATAAAAATATATATAATAAAACCAAATTGTTTTCCCAACCGGCTTAATTTCCTTACCGGGAAGACATGGCAAAGAACTTGTTGAATTGGGATATAATGCGGATAGAGACACATGAAATAATTAAGAGAAAGATAGAATATTAAATTGTTACTAACAGTAACACATGAGCCACAATTGAATGTTTGTATAACCAAAATGTCAACGAAAATTGAATGTCTGTATAACCAAAATGTCAAAATATCAATAATAAGATACAGACTATTTATTAAAAAGAAAATGGAAATCTAATTTGGTCATAAGAAAGTAACAGTTTCGGCTCCACTAATGGGACGCAGACGGTTGTTATGAACATCTGCATTTCAGAATTTAGATTCTGATTATTCACTATGTCATGATTTTTGTTTTCAGAATTCTATTCCCCAACACCAGTAGGTGGCCTCTCATTAGCTTTTCCCTATTTGTTATTGTGTCTCTTCTTCTTTTCATGCTCCATGAATTCAAATTTGTTTCAGGACCAAAACCAAATACTTAGAGGTGAGTTGTCACTTTGAATAAAGTATTATGTCAATATCTCTTTACCTACATACATTAATAACCACCATTTCAGTGAAAGAAAAAATAAGAAAAATCGAATGATTAATTAATTAACTCTTACCTCAATACTGGGGGGTTGATGATCATCCCACACATGATGGTTTCTCTTATCTTCAAGTTGCTTCTCGATATTGATTTTTGTATCTTTCAATTTGAACATTTTCCTGTTTGTGACTTCTTTTTATGTTGGCTTCTTGAACTTTGACTTCATCAAATATGGTAAAATGTTATAGGTAGATAAGATAATTATATGATTTACAGGTTTTCAGAAGAATATATTCACCTTCAGATGCTTCTTAAATCATATGTGAAGATTTAATTTATCAATTAAGTTCAACTAATTTCCTGATTGATAATTGCAGATGGATCAGTGAACCAGAAACATGTCAAATACATTGCAAACAATTAACAATACATTAAGCAAAAATTAGGTTATTGAGGCTACTAATTCAGCCAAAACGAATCAAAACAAAGGGTGTTTCACTTACCTATGAGTAGAATTAAATATGTCCCACATGAAATAGTTTAAATATTAATAACATTGTACTCTAAATATACAATGTTGTAATTGGGAAGCTTTATTTTTCTTTTTATACACAACCCGCAACACAAACAAAGAGTGAGTTCTTATAAATGTCAACAAATCAAAAACAATTTAAATGATTTCCTCACGTTGAAGTTCATATAATGAATCCGTACAAAGAACCAAGTGTGTTGTCACGTGACGAAATTGGTTTTATTTATTAGATTAGGGGATTCTATTTGTGGTTAACTTTTTGAGAATATATCTTGTATAAACGTGAGTTCTGATTAGATATATTATTTACTAACTAATTAAATTCCAAACACATATGTAAAAGATGCCACATTTATAAAATTTATGGAATAAAAATCAATATACAAATATTTTTAACCAATTGCCGATATATAATGTTAAATTTAAATTCTAGCATTACTACAAATAAGTTGCATTTGATTAGGGACAACACTATATTATCATATTATATATTTAAGTCTCAATGTAATGGACATCTAAAGCTTTTCATTGATCGGTCTTGGTTGAAATATAAATAATAGCTAACTTTGGTGAAGGTAGAATGTTAACCAAAGCATTGCACAAAAATACTTTATTAAGGCATGGAGTATAAATTTCAAATTTGAAAGCAGCAAGCTAAAACACATAATTATCACAACTATATCAGTTAATTGCCGCTTAGTTTAATGCAAATTAAATCAAAACAAACAATAAATTAAAATTATTCTCCAATTGGGTCCGACACAATGTCTTTCCTTCCAGGGTTCTCTATGATTACTCATAACTCATGTTAATAGTAGCATATAATATATAAATTAAGTCATTATGGAAAATTTTATTTTCTTACTTCTTGAATATTTATAAACTAAAATCAAACTCAGCAATATCTTAGAATAATCTCACCCCAAATTCTTAAAGTTTTTCAACTTATTTGCTCCACATATTGCCCTCTTACATGCCATCTTTCTTTTGAAAGTTTCTTCATGTTTTAATATAAAACCTAGGAAAAAAAAGGGAAATATAAAAGTGGATTTACAAATTTGTTAATTTATACAGTTTATTTTATTTTTTTTGAAAATATAAGCATACATCATGTTTCCACATTAAGAACATTTTCATATTGTCCTCTCATGGAATTGGTCGATGCCAATGGCCCTTCCTGGAAATAGCACATCAATGATCTACATTGATATAAATGTAAGATAAATAAACATATACAAAATTATAAATCAAAGAAACTATAGTTGAAGAAACATAACAAATATCAATTACTTAATTTTTGCCTCACATTGTAGTTTCAAGTGAAAATTACATAATTGAGTAGCTTAAATTCAGTTCAGTAAAAGTATTTCCAATCCATTACTAATAAATATTGGACATTTTCAAGTTAGGTATGTGTTTAAAGAAATAATTTGTACCTCTAATGTCATCTACCATTCCTCTACATATTCTTCTACCATTTCAATGATGTTTTCAGCATCACCCTCCTAACTAATAGAATTACTTTGTTCATAATTAAAATATATTAAAATGGATATAAATCATGCAAGATTCAAATAAAGTAGCCGCAATGATTTACCTGTTACATAAGACTTTCTTCTTCTTTCTCTCTCAATGGCTACTACATATCACAATGCTTAGAACAGCTGTTTTACCCTTCTTGGGTCTTGCAAATAGATACAATGTAAAGAGGGATCACAACACAAGGAAGAAAGCAACTTATTTATTATTAATAAATAACTTAGAATCAATCTATTAATGCATCATTGCCTCATCTTATGAGCAAATAAGAAAAGGGAGCTTTTAATGCAAACCTGAAATCATGCTTCATAATGTACTTTCAGCTACAACCATTTTTTGAAAGAGAAATGAAGTTTTTCTTTGTTACCGATGACGTCACTTTCAGCTATGTCCATAAATGCCTTACAGAGGGGTATAAAACATACGGCAACTCATATGAAAGTGGTATTTAATCAAATACATGTGCTGCATGTGCCTCTTGATCCTGAAGCATGTATGATGTAATTAATGAAATTACACATATCAATAATCCACAATCTGCATATCATCAATCATCACAATCTGGTTCTCAATAGTGTAATTTATAGAACGTAATTAGCATAGTAGAAGAAATAATACAAACCTCCACTTCATGCAAATATTAAAAGATTGACATTATACAAATATTGACCTCCACTTTAATAAAATAATAAAAAATAATACTTGATAGAACTCACTGTAATATCATTATCAATTGTTTGCGAGATCCCATCTACTACAATTTGAATGCGACACCTTTCAACCATTCAAAAATTATACTGATTAAAAGATTGAATTATCTTCTTGGTATCCGATTGTGGTAAGGGGAATTAGAAATAAGATATGGTTTAAGCATTTCAAATTGAATAGGAGTGACTACGTTTTGAGATTGGATCGGGAGTGAAATGGTTTCTGTGAGATTTATGGAGAAGAAGAACTCAGAAAAAAATAAACGCAACAATTAGAAGAAGAGCAATAATTACCTAATAAGAGGTGCAACCCTAAACCGGCACCACCATCGCTGATTAAATGAGAAAACAGTGAGAAATGGCAGCATAGAAGCATCAACACAGGAATATAGTTAATGGTGGCTCTTTTAGGGTTTGTAGATAACGGCGATATTGAGAAAATGGAATGCAATGGCAATTTGGGAAATTTAGTTTCATCATATGAGCAGGAAAAAATCGATATGGGAGGCTTGGAGAATACTTATTTATTAAAAGATTGAATTATCTTCTTTCCAAAATAATATGTATATAATAGTTTCCAAAATAATATGTATATAATAGATTACGTGAGTGGCATCGACTTTCCAAAATAATATGTATATAATATTGAAAAGGTTTAAAATTTTCTTATAGTTGGAAGTTTTATTTTATTTATTTCATTGTACATATTAATGAAGTATTTTGGTTGGTTAATAAAAAAAATGGAATTGGATATTTCCATATAGGAAAATACAGCCAACATGGAATTTAGGAATTTGACACTAATTATATCCATTTAACAACCAAACAAGTCATGTAATCCGATCGAATTTTGTTGTACCAATAAACCAATAATGTCTTAATTAATAGAAGTCTATGATTACAAGGGGGTGTTTGGCAAAAATGTTGATTGCTTATTAACTTATTAGTTTATAAGCTAATAAGTTAGAATAAAGTAACTTATAAAAAATATTTTATCAGCTATTTCCATCACTTTAATTTGTTTTTATACAAATATTTTTTTAGTTTATAGCGGCGTGGAACCGCTAATAAGCTCCTTTACCAACCATTCTAAATAATACACTTCCTTCTAGCTCAGATGCATAATATCATTAAGTTATAATCCTATTTTATAAATTTTCATTTAATTATTCAAATCTTTGTTTATATATTTGGCCACTAAACTTTGAATATGTGTTTGACTATTGTAAAATTTTGATAATATTTTGGCAGCATTAAAAGAAAATGACAATAAAAGTATAATACAACATTACCATGGTTATGTTGAACTCGTGGGTTCAGTACAAAAGTTTCTTATATATTTTGTAACAATTGATTCTCCCTAGTGTTAATATTGATGTTGACTGAGGAGCTTAGTCAGATCCATAACATTTTTCATGTCTTTCATCTAAGGAAGCGCATTGATGATGTGACTTTAGTAGTACCATTGGACAATATTCATGTAAACGAGTGCTTGAACTGTGTGGAAAAGAAAATCATAATTTTGAATAAGAAGACTAAGACCTTGCGTACCAAGGTGGTTGGATTAGTAAATGTGCATTAGTAGCACCGTAAGGGTTCAAAGTGGACATAGGAACTAGAAGATTAGATGTAAGGTCATTACCCTGAGATTTTTGTATTTGCAGATTTCACATGTTCAAAAAAGGTAATATTATCTATAACAAACAGTAGTATTACCCTTTTTTAACCCGTAAAACAATCTCAATGATCAAATATGTACAAAAAACATGGTTGCCTAAATTTGAACATGAAACAAAATATGTTTCCCTTTTAAGTCATTAATCATAGAAAAAAGTCATAAACTAAGCCAAATTATAGTTGTAGTTGAAAGTATATTACTTGTTAATTGACGCTATGAAGTACAAAAATCTAATATAATTAAATATTGAGTAATAGTAATTAATAAAGTTGAAAAAAAACATGTTGTTAAAAATCAGTAAGTCGCCTTATTTAAAATAAAAATAAAAAACTAGACTATGTTATA